AAGTGATGGCACATGGCATACACGTATGATGATGGAGAGTTGATGGGCCTTAGATTGGGTAGAGGATAATGGGTGCGGACCAATTTGGATAATTTGAAATAATGGCCCACTCTTCCAGTCTCTGACATGGACATCATGTCACGTCTTTAAAAAAATATAATATTATGATTCTGAGAAGAATCATTAGCCCCAAGAGGCCCATCACTGAAAGGAAAAGAATAACAAGGACGATAAAGTTTGAAAGATGAATAGTGATTACATGCTTGATTGTGAATTTATGATGGTGATCATGATTACGACTTGCATGTGAAAAATTACATTTTTCTAATTATTAACAATCCATGTTTCTATGGTGGCAACTGAGAAGATAGCAAAACATAAAAATTCACTTCTCTCGTTTTGATGTATGCATTACTTAGAAGTGACGTCAGGGACTTTACTGTAAATTATAATTTAATGTAAATACAATAATAATTAACAATGTTAGTTTATATTATCATCTAATCTGATTATAAGTCACAGTGGATAATGAGAATGGGTTTTATAATTCTAAAAAGTATACATAAATTTGATATTACTGATAATATCAAGTTATTTAATTATTTAATTAATTAATTTCATATTTTATAAAACAAGTGATTATTTGGTACACAAAGATAAATTTATATTAATTTAACCTTTTATTAATGTATATTTTATTTATTTATTTTACAGTTATTATCATTATTTCATTATATTTTCTTACATTAATTATCTTAAAGATGAGTAATATAATATTAATATGATAATAGATGTTTAAGTTTTTCATTATTAACCATTATTCTCCTAATAATTTTAGAATTAACTTTAATACTATGATATGATATCTAATTCTATTTTATAAAACTAATTCAATAAGATAAAAATTATACTCATTTATAATATTATTATATTTTTAATTAATGTGAGCTTTGTTAATATTAACAAAATTATTTTTAAAAATATTATATAAAATTTTTATTGAACTTAACATATATATATATATATATATATATATATATATAACTTTGTCGTTTGTGGTATGAGTTAGTTGACTTTGATGGTTTGCTAAGTGAAGAAATGAATTGAAGAGAAGGAAGAGCAGGCTTTTGGAAGAGGACTGGAAAAGTTGTTGATCTTTTACAAGTTTAGGCTCAAAATTATAGGACACTCTAGGGTGGGATGGGAGAGAGAAATGCACAAAGTGATGAGTGTTAAAGTGCACCAAAGTGAAGGCTTGTTCAGTGGCAATGGGCCACCATGCATCATCATCATGATGTTAAATGAAAAATGTGAAACATAGTGTCATCCATTTTCACAGAAACCCTCTCCTTACAAACAAATCTCCCTAAATCCCACACCTGTAATCATTTCCATTTTATTTCCTTCTTGACTTGTTTGTAAAAGTGATTAATGTGAAAATCCCTTACCTTTTTCGAAGTACCCCTTGCTGTTTTTACCATTCGTTTCCCTTTCTTTACAATAAAATAAACTATAATTCAAAATATTTTGAAATTCATCCCTCTAAATTTAAACCCAAAGGAGAGATGACAGAAGATCATGATCTCTCTATGAATGAAATCAAAAAGATTTTTAGCTTTTAGAGTGGACTTTTTAATGCAAAAGACAAACCACTTTCACAAATTAAATTATAACTATTCCACCTCAGGAGTGCTTCAAGCTCGCTCCTTTCCCCCCTTTTCCTTTATTTCCTTTATTGGATTTTGTTATCACCGATTTAATCCCTAACTGAATAAATAACTAATTAATTTCGTAAATTTATTTTTTACAAAAATATTTGTATGCCCATCTATACTCATAAACAGAAATTTGAAATTAAAGATAGTTTATACATATTATTTTTAAAATAAAATAGACAGTAAAACTTTTATTTTTAAATAAATAAATTAAATTAAATTTATATATAGGTATCTTCATTGCATCATAGATTTTTTCCTTTAGATATAACAAAAGCTGCTTAATTATTAAGTAGATAGAACCGCATAATTAGATATCCCACCATACTTCATTAAGGCATCATCAATATGTCCTTTTATTTAACATGTCATTTTGTTTAACTTTATTAAGTGTATTTCAATGTCATTTCGTAATTAATATTTTTAAGTAGGACAAAAATTGTCCTCTTCATATGTCTTAATCTTTTTGTTAGGTTAAAATAAACTAATAAATGTCAAATCCAATATTTTATAAAGAATAATAAATAATTACATCAATTAAATATTTTTATAATGAATAATGAAAGTATTATTACTTCAACTTTCAAACTTAGTTAAATATCAAATTAACAACTTTTGTTTGTAAATAAACTTTATCAATTCATTCAGTGAAACATATGGTATTATTGTAATTAATTACATATCATGTGTGTTAGTTTTTTCATGATTTAGACATTTGTAGGCATAGAATCTAGTAGATGTTATTTAATTATATTATAAATAACATTTCATAATTTTAAATAAAGTGAAAAAGTAAAGCATTAATTGAGGGAAATTTTGTAAATTAATCTACTATATAAAAGCTTTAGATTTTATACTTGGAATGATAATTTTATTTTCATAAAAAGAGTATAAACTTTAGTTTATTAAATTTAAAAATGAATGTGATTTGACCCTATTTTTATTTAAAAAATTAATTGACATGGTATAATTAAAAAAAAGTGGTTTAAAATTTGAACTTTTTTTTATTCTTTCTAAAAAAAAATCAAGGCATGATAGAGAAATTTTTCTAAAAATAAAATAGAAATAAAAATTGAAATTAGTTTTTCCCAGGAGAAATTTAGCTTATACATAACTAAATTGTAAAAATAGATTCACACATCATCTTCTGTAATTTTTTATTTTTAATTTGAGAAATAAGTTAATTTTAACTTATAAATTTTTTTTTATACTAAACATATTTAAAGATACATTTTTAAAACCTACCACTTATCCAATAAATAGAATTTTTTTTTAATGCAAGCTAGAAAACTAACCTGTCACCGAAGATAATGTGACGTGTATTTTCCCTCCGAGGCTCCCACACAAGTTCATCTATCAATCGTAGGAAACACTGTTCCTAGGTCACCCTAATTCCTAACCCTTTATTTTCTTTTGGTCTTTCTATCTTTCTTTTCCTTTTTCCCGCGTTTCCGTGAATAGCTACATGAACAACCGTACACATAAAAACAACAATTTTTGCTGTCTATGAGAAACCCTACATTATTTTATCATGGACATACAATAACAAATACACTCTTATAAAAAAAATTCACATTTTTTTGAATTGGAATTTTCCCTTGTCCTAATCAGGCTGAGTGTACTGGCGTAGGAGCACCATGTATTATTTCATACACCACCACATTTAGCCGCAATTGTGTTCCTTCAGATTTCAGTACCAAATTTGCTTTATTTTAATTTTCTACAAAAATAAAATAAAATCTTATACTACTGTATATGAGTACGGGGATTTTTATTCACGCCAACAAAACCCACACCAAAGTGCAATGAACCATAAAGACATCCAAATAATTTAGGTATCGGTGTCGGACACTTGTTCAAGATATTAAGGTACTCCTAAGTATTGTCTTGGAACACTTCTTGATCCTGGAATTTTTTTTATCCTGTGGTTTTTCTTCTTCCATTAAACACATCTCAACCACATCACCGACTTCCAAGACCCCACCCTTGTGAAATCCATCACGACGAGTCTCTTTTAAGGGCGTAATAGAACATGCATGCCCAAAAGCAATTTCCTTCATTTTTCTCATCAGTGAACAACATTATGGTGCGAAATTGATATAAATAGTAGTGGAGGGATAATTTCATGATTCAAATTAGATAGAATCTTTTTTCTTTTCCGATTCTTTCAGTGTATAATGATTTTCTTTTTTACATATACATGCGTACCATTCTAATTGGCTCAACAGGTCACTATTGCAATCTTCTTATTGCGCATCATGGCTGGCTACATATTCGCCAGTGTAAAACTATGTGAGCCAATTCTGGAGTGATGACGTACACGTATAAGCTATATCACTTTGTGTGAGCGTTCCTAAAATCTGAAGAAAAATGATCGACAAAAGGAAAATGATTTAGTCGTTACGATGCACAGGCGTGAATTGTTTGCGTCAATTATTATTTCTTTTGTTTCAAAAAACAACAATAAGTGGAAGACGGTATGGACCCATGGATACATGGCCATGTGTAATGTGTTTTATATCTCATTGTCATGATCTTGAAAAGTTGGAAACATATGAAAATGTCTTTGATTTCGATAAAACAAGAATGTGGCGGCTAAGAATTCCCCAAATGTCGCCACCAATTACTCCCAGAACCCACAACTTTATAATCGGCGTTAAATTAAAGACTGAAAAAGATAGAGAGAAGATCTTTCTTTACAGAACGTACAGTAGATGCCAAATGAATTGGAGGCCTACAAAAACAAGATAGAGTGAGGAACACACACTTACACACATTCGCTTTTTTCTTTATTAATCGACTTCAATCAACGTAGCAGATTACACAATTTCTCTCTTAAAAACTCTACCAAGTCAAAACCAATATCCATATATTATAATCTCACACCGATTCACGTAGTGAAGATACAAAATATATAAAACCATGAACACTTCGAAGCCACCAGGATCCTTCTGTAACAACCAGGGTCCTTTTGTATTTATGATTGAAAGCACAACTCAAGTTTTGAGGGGAAAACAATAATTGAAAGAGAAGTTAATTAGCTGCTACTCATTTACTCATGTAATCTGAGGGGAACCAAAGCACAATGAAAAGAAAAGAAAAGAAAAATGAAATATGGTGTTTAATTAATAATTAATTGGATGGTCATAGTTAAGATGAGGATACCAAGATTCTCTCTTCCATGCATTAGAATTATACTAGCATATAGTACCGTTGGTTGCTTTAAGAAATCATAAACAACAATCCTTATATTTCTTCTTCTTATTCGGTTTGGTGGACCATGCTTTAATCAGAAGAACAATTAATCCAGGATTCCACCATACCTTGGGTTCTGGCAGTTGCAGTGAAGTCTGGTCCCTTCTCTCCAAGAAAATCCGATGAAGAAGCTGAATAGTGTACTTTGCCATTGGTGACTCGCTCTGCAATGTCACTGTAGCTGGCAGTGCCATTGAGAGCTCCACCTCCTCCTCCTCCTCCTCCTCCTCCCCCGTGATCGCAATCATTGTTGGTAATGGTGCCCGTTCTCTGGGCCCATTCCGTTGAAGAATTAGCATTACTCGAGTTATTGTTGTTGTTGTTTCCACTCGACAATGCTCCCACTCCAACCGATGTTGACGAAAGTATGTTCTGATGAAGACACCCGAGGTCGGTGTTGACATGGGCATCGTGTCTCAGTCCCAGTTCCTCAAACACCCCCATTTTGAGACTCGGCGGAATTTCCAAGGAGGGTTGTTGCTGTTGTCTGGAGACAAGGGCGGAAGAGTTGCCCAGAAGGTACTTGGGATGGTGGTATGACTCGAGACTAGGAGTGTTGTTAAAGTTGAGAGGCTGTTTCACAAGGCCAAAATGTTCAGATAGGTTTTGTTCAGATAGGTTTTGCTGTTGCTGTTGTTGTTGATGTCGTTGATAGTTAATGGAAGTTGAATTTGTAGTAGAGTTAGTTGAAGGTAACAAGGTGTTGGCAAAGGAGGGAGGAAATGAGTGAAGGCTTCGAAGGTGGAGTTTTTGTGCAAAGGGGCGAAGAAGATAAGGAGGCGGCGTTGGAGGGTCCAAAGGGTTGATGTTAACGTTGGATCTCAAAATAGGTGTTGTGGCGGAAGCAAAGAGATCCAACCTGGTTCTCGGGAAAGGCGATGATCCGAAGGATGGTGCCGGGATGCCTGTGAATTCCTGAACCATGGCTCGGAAATTGGTGGTGTCTGTGGTTAGCACAGTGGTAGGTGCACGCCTAGAGGCTCGTGACCGTTTCTTTGGGTTTCGAACCACGTTGTTGTTACTGCTGTTGGTGGTGCCGTGGGTTTGAATTTGATCATTGTTGGCGGCTGACACTGAAAGCATTAGTCCTCGGGAACCACTTTCTGGAGGCAAGGTATGAAAAGCACCACTATTGTTGCCCCTTGTTTGACTTGACATAAAAGCTTGGTTATGTGGCGAGGGTGACGATGACGAGCAAGGTATCAAGTTAACAAGACTGGTTTGGTTTGGTTCGGATCTACCTGGTTTGGACCACATCACCTCAAGGTTTAGAAGTGATGTTGAGTTCTGAGTAACTGGATCCAGGTAACTCGATAAAGGGTCGAACATGTGGGTATTTTGGTGGGGGTGTGGTGGGATGAGTGTGTGGAGGTTATTGGCAGTGGTAGTGTTGAAGGACGCAGCTTGTGTGGGTGGTTGTTGGTTGTTTAAGAAGGCAGAGAGTGAGGATGATTGGGCGCGTGAATCGTACTCTTCGTCGGCACCGCTTGAAGATTGCAAACTGCCACTAGTGTTGGCCGAATCCATGAGAGCGGAAAATGGAAAGACGTGAGGGAGAGAAGTTGGGAGAGATTTTGATTATTTGCAGATACAAGTGTACATTTAAGAGGTATGCTGCAGAATGAATGAGGTATGGGAGCGAGAGTAGAGGAAAAGAGAAAGAGAAATTTTCTGGTTGCGGAAAGACAAGCTAGTTGTCTTCAGAAAGTGGTTCCTCCCACCCACGTCTTTAAGGCTCTGCAAGACTGCAACTGGCACACATCCCTTGGTTCGCTTTTACTTAATCTGTGTTTGTGCAAAAGGGTGTTACGTAAACAAAGGAATAAACAGCCCACGGATGATCATGCATTTAATACTTGCTGCAGAGAGGTTCCGAATACAAGTTTACTCTGTTTTGGATTTGGGAGAGTGAGCAAGTCTTTGCCATCTATGTCTCTTGCCTCTTTCTTTGTCCTGGGTTTTGGATTACTACCACTACTACACACTGTGAAAAGGATCAAGTATTAGGGTTTCAAGTGAAAGAGAAAAGGAAGAGAGAGAAGGAAAAAGAAAAGGATAGTTCTATAGCCTTTTTCTCCTATAAAAAGAAAGCCTCTTCTGGTAGATATGTGGTTTCACCAGCAAAATATCGGAGTGGGGTAGCTATAGGGATGAAGAAAGAGAAAGAGAGAGGCTTTGTACATGATGACAGGCTCCCAATGGTCAAAGTAGGAGAGATTTGTGGTTTTGATTTAGAGACTGAAATGGAGGAAAGACATAACATAGAAGAAGCAAAAAGGTTTATTTATTCCGAACGTTATGTACTCACTGTTCATCTTATATTTTGCGGAATAATGAGATGTGCAAGCAACCAGATTAGGGTGATGGTTGTTGAATTGCATAAAGCAAAGAGATCAACCATATTCACCTTTCCAAATTGCGTCAAGAAAACATTAAAAATACGTACATATACAATTATTGTTTAATATAAAATTTTGTCCAAAAAATTAACTAGAGATTGTTTTCACGGTGAACACAATAAACAAACCGTATCTTTTATGTATATTGATATTCCATATTAAAAAATTAAACAAATTTGACTTTTTATTTTTCAATTGCTTTGACCGAGTCAGAAACCTCGACTTATAAACTATTAATAAGTGAAAAATCTTACATAAAATCTAAGAGAATCTTCAACAGTCTTTCTCTACTAAAAGATGTAGAAGAGAAATCATGATATTTGTCAAGTATATCTGATACCATACGTTTACACGATTTTTTCCCTGTTTTAGTTTTTTTTTTTTTTTTTTCTTATGAGTGGTCGTGTTAATTGTTTATTCTACCTAGTAACTAAAAAACACGGGTAAAAGGATTCCAGTTTTATTACCAGGTTCCCAAAGCATAGATGGATGAATCAGTTCAACAACATTCATGTTGGCTCCAACCAACAAAACTTCGAACCAAGATTCAACAGAAGCATTCCCCCTTTAGTATGTGAGTGTTTGGGAAGGAGAAGCTGTTCAACTATAAAGTGACCATCAAATAATCCTAAAAAATGATTAACTTGGTTTGTGTAACAATGATTGACCCCAAACAGCACAAAAAATATACTTGTGATATTTCATGGTCATGTACATTGCACAATTCGTCATTTTCTTTCTAAAACTCAAAATTTAATATATTTTTTTTATCAAAAGTATTGTATACATTGTGAATAAACACAAAATGATTATATTTATTGTGATGAATGAGATTATGTTATATTCCTCTACAACTATACGTGATTAGTGGAATCTTAAAGTAGTAAGAAGCGGAAGTATATAAAGAAGATGCCATACGGTCATACTACGCTACTTCTATTTTATGTTGTTCTTTATTCTGTCTGGTTATATTTAATAATATTATTGAGTTAGATACCGTGGGTGCGCAGTTTCCTTCCAACAACAACGTTGATACACTTGACATGGCTCCAAAGGTGCAAAATAATTACAAATAGAAATGTGGATGGATTTGTTTATTGGTTTAAGAATAAATAAGCAAACGTGGGTGTCCAATAATCTGCCCAAACTGTTGAACTAATTATGTCTGGGTTATGTTGCTTGAAGATGTAAAACTACTTTAATTTGTGTTTCTGGATAAGCTATATATGAATCAAAGAAATGTTTGGAAATGATATTGATGGGACCTCTAATCTAATCTACATTATTGTCAAATGGATAGTAATTGGAGTCGTGGACATACCCATTGTTGTTTCATCGTCATCATCTTCTCTTCTTCATCCAAGAAATTCAGAGCTTTATTATATCACTAACTATTCACCTTTCGTGTTATCTTTCATTCATAATCTATCAAAAACTAAAATTTTTAATTTAACTAAAAGTAATATTATACTTTTCATATACTTAAAATGTAAGATCTAAGTTGTGTGTACCTTGATGCCTTCACTTATTTCCATTTGCAATCGATTCTTGTTTACCAATCCCACGTGGCATTTCCCCTACCGTGCACGAGACATTGAAATTTGTTTTTTCTACATTTCAATTTACTTAATTAGTTCTGTCTTCTATCATAAGAAACTTTTTTTATCTACCAAAATAAAATTTTGGTAAAAATCACGAGAAAATCGAGTCCACATCGACAGAAATTAAAAAAAAAATTATAAATCTTGAAACTTGTATATCAACAAGTAATTTTGAATTGCATGTTTCAATGATGGAGTAGTATATATTTAATGGAAGGTCAATAATAAAAATAATTATAAATAAACATTTTAAATGGTTATTATAAGACTTTGATTTTGATAAATTCTCAAAGTAAAAAAAAATTGCCCTCGTAATTAATCAAGAATTGGCGATGTCAACTTTTCTGATATTCTAGGAGTACTAAAATAAAGAAGATTTTTGTTTTTATATTCAATACAAAAATTAAGAGAATTAAAACAAAATAAAGAAAAAATATAATATAAATTAATATTTTTCTATATTGTTATAAATGTTATGTCGAATTGAATCGTTAATCAACTTTATCTTTTAGCAAAAATAATCTTATATCAAAATTTATTTCTCAGTTTATTCTGATTACACTTAATACGGAAACCTTATCCACAACAAAGAAAGTACTTGTACAAGGTTAAACAATCAAAATTAACTTATATTCTATATACGTTTTGTGTTTGGAGAGTGATGTTTTATGTTATCTGAAATTGGAGGTACACAAGTAATGGTTCCTTTTTTTGTCAATGAAGTGTTGTAAGTAGGGTTAAACACTGTAAAGTAACTTCACCACATTAAAGTAGTAAATTTTATAAAAAATGATATGTATTAAATGCATACCAAATATTGTTGATTTTGGTCAATATCTAAAAAGTAGGTTAATCCTTTATTTAAGATGTCTTTAAACAGATTAATATCGTTTAGTCCAATATAGAACAATATCTGATAAAAGGAAATACTTGAAGAAGAAAAAGAGAAAAATTTATCTTGTCGTGTTGAACTTTCCGAACGCACCAGACTATAATTTTAACTCACTGCATGTGGTTCTCACCGATCGCAATTCACATACAGAAAAAAGTAATAAACACTAGACTACACAAAAAAAAAATATTTTTCTCCCCTATTTGTTTGAATTTGTTGTTAATATTTTTAATTCACGTCGTTAATTATGGTTAAATAATGACGCGAAAATATCTTGAATTATGAATATATGACATGTAAAAACTTATGCTTTACAAGTATGAAATTATAATTAAATTTTCATAGGAATTGAAATTGCGTTTTCACAAAACTTATTAAATTGCATTTTCACAGAATTTTAGTGACTTGAAATGAATTTAAATCTAAAAATATAAATTGAGTATTTTTTAATTAAAAAGTAATACAATATTAACATAAATATTATTAAAGATTTGTAGTGTATGAAATCTATTTTGACTTTAACCTAACTCAATATCAAGACTTTAGACACTATTCAACATTGCCATACCTAATTTTCAGCAACACACGTACGCAAATATTTGGAAGCCTCTCGCCCCCCTTTTGGTGGTTTTCCTCTCTTGTATTATTTTCCACCATCTGTCAACAATCAATCAGAACAACTAAATAGATGGATACCAGAATAGCTCAACAATATATCTCCATCACCACACTAATCAAAGGTTGAATTTCTGTGAAAAATAACTCCCCAAATAAAGAAAAAAAAAAGTATTTGGTCAATAATTTATGTTTATTTATTTTGTGTTGTTCTCCGAGATGCGATGAAGCTCTACGTAAACTACGACTGACAGATTGGACATACATAGAAAGGTGCGTAGAAAAAACATACAATTGGGCGATGATAATGCAAATAAAAGAATATAAATAATATATCATCATATAATCATGCGTGGAACATAGGCATTTCATTTTCCTCTCTTTTATTTCTCCGTTTGCTCTTGTTCAATTTTGTTTTCGCTTTGTTCCCGAGAAGGAAACTTTGTAACACAACAGATATTTATAGCTAGATCAACCCACGTTTCCTCATTAATGATGCTTTTACCTAACCTAACCACGCTAACAATTTCAAATTTAAGATGCTTCAAACACTTGATTAGACACCACTAACTATATCTTTTTCACATTTTTGCATATTTTCCTAGTTTTATTTAAACATCTTATCAATCACATGTGAAATTAACTCCATTTATCAACATACCTGTTACGGTGACCATGCAAAGTGTCAACTTACAATGTTTTTAGTTATCTTTAAATAAAAGTACAAGAGAAATTCAATATATATTTGGCTTGTAAAATATGTTTGTGCATGTATTGCATGCTTTGATTAATCATTGTACAAAGAGATAATGTTAATTGGTGTTCCTATTTCAATCACATATTATAGTAAAAACAATAATCGATAGGGTTATATATCTTCCGAACAATTAAGTTTGCGTGATTCCTCTAACGGTAAACACACGTTTAGCTGTTTTAAGGAAAACTTCTGTTGTTTTGAAAATCTAACTGAGTGCATGAATCATCTTCCAGATTCAATTAGAGGGGAAATAGTTCAAAGTT